CTCAGAAGAACAGCACAATGCGTGGACAGCCATCGTTAACGCGGGTATAGCCACAAGCAAGAAAACGAAACGTGATGCGTACAACAAGGCGTGGCGCGAGGCGCATGGCATTGGAAGGCGAGTGTAAGTCAACAGATCTGCTTAGACTGGTCCCAACCGCTACCATGCCCTGAAAACAATCGTCGCACCAGTGGTGATCTCTGAGAATCAAATGCGCTAGGTCTAGAGCTTGTCACCAACAAGGGCACGAAAGAGGGGTTGGTGAAAGCAAATTTGAGTACGTAAGAAAAAAATTTAATGGCAGACAATTTACAAGGTTCACACGAACTTATCCAAAACTTTACATGGTTATTTGTGTCAAGAACTAACAATATGTTTTGGACGAGTAAGTAATTGTTCATTTTTAAATACTTTTAAATACTTAAAAGTTACACGTGTATATTATGCATTTCGTGGATTTTGGCTATATGGAAACGATTTAGGAATGCTTGAAGGACGATTTAGTCACTTCACGGATAAAATGCATGTTTACAACGATTAACAACACAGACAACGAAATGTGAGATGAACGAAATACATGCCGATTATAGCGAATGGCGGTTCATTCACACGTCATGCGTTGTTGTAACTTGTTAGTATCAAATCCTTGATCCACCCCGAACGTGGTAACTCGTTGTTTTCCACGAACTCTTCAGTCATTCATTTCAGGTTTTATATCATCACTGCGTTGTATTCACGAATAAACTGAGAAGGAGCTAACTACACCTTTTCAACTTCAAATGGCAAATTTCAAGCTCAATATGTCAAAATGTAACTTTGCTTAGCGGAGTATACTAAGTGCTACAATTTAAACGTTTTCGTAACCTAACCCAATACATGCATCGAACTATCCGAATGTACATGTTTTCTCCTCGAAGTACGCTTTGTATCTTTGCCAATCCTTCCAATCTTGTAGGTCGGATTCTTGACAACCCGTTTTCTCCTCGAAGTACGCTTTATATCTTTGCCAATCCTTCCAATCTTGTAGGTCGGATTCTTGACAACAGTGTTCTTGTCCATACCCTGAAAGAACTCATGGTAGACGTATCCAGGAGTCCTCCCCATCGAATACCAGTAATAAAACTTGGTCTTCTCCAGAAAGGAACTCTTTCCGATATCTTCTTCATAAAATGTCCCACTAGCACCAGTTGTTCTCAAATTCCTTTTGAAAGCGTCAATATTCTGCTTAACAGCAAACGAGCGCGTTTGGAATAGGTGATAGACGTCCACCTTTGTAGTGACTTTCGTCGGCTGCATGTTTGCCGCAGCAACGGTTTCGCAGCTCCCAAGGAGGGCAACAGCGGTGGCCAGCGCAACTTTGGTTAAACGTATTGTAAGCCGTTTACAGTTACTTGAGCAGCAGAGAGTGAATAATGAAGTGGGTAAGATAAACTGGGGAAAACAGCATCGAGAGTCTCGACGAGACAGCGAAAAGGAGCAAATCTTGAGACAGAGTTTACAACATACCGTAAGTACATGTACAGTGGACTATCCGGACTTCTACGGAAATTGTCGAGCATATCCGGTAATGGCATCTAATTCTTGGTGCACATTGCACGAAGTATTCCCGAATGTAAAAATGTACAGCATACAAAACTCAAGTGATATCATACATCATGCAGAGTGTGCTAGAAATCGTCATGCAATTTCCACGAAGTATTCTACTGGTAGTATCCAGTCAAATACGAATAAAAAACGATGTTGTGAGCAGGATTCCGAGTAAATCTACATCATGTTAAGCTGCTATTTGTGTTGTAAGCTCACGCGCAAGCCACAAGAACGGATCCAATCTAAACATTCTTCCACCCTTCGATCTCGTTAGGAATGACACTAGTATACGGTCCATCCAGCAGACCAGCTACATCAGTGAAGCTGTGGGGTTGAAGGATTTTTTCATCTGTACCAGAAACTCAATGAAGCGCATTAAACGCTGCTGTTCAGCCTTTCGGTCGTTTCCATTCTAATCGCCATATCAAGGTTAGACAGCACTCATAGTGATGATTACCCACACCATTGTACTTCATTAGTCTTCAAAGGCAAAACGCCCTCGGAATCTCAGTAAAATCTGCCATACCACATAAGAGGCCCGCGATCATTACGAAGGTGGAAACATCAAGTGACAAGCATATTTCGCTTTAGTTGGTTGACATTGATTGGGCCAAAGAGTTGAAGGTTGAGAAACTGAAAGGCTTTTTTGTCATTGGACGACTGTCGTTGCTGTTTTGATCAACCCCGTATCACACAATGGTGTGACTCTTAAAGATCATATCACTTGCAAATAAACGTGGTCAGGTCCAGTATTAGCCGTTTCTAAGACTCCCTCTCCGGAATCAGTCCCTAATTCCCTGTTACTCGTTAATGCCATGGTAGGCCCATATCCTACCATCCAAAGCTAATAGGGCAAAAACTCAATCGATTTAGACCCTGTCTGTGTGAGTACATAGCTGCTGTGAGCAAATTGCCAAATATTGGTTTCCTGTTACACCTTTATCCTCTATTCACGTACGATATCGATTATAGTCGTTTATAGACAATATATAGAGACCCATGTAGCTACTCAACGGCATTGTAGTCAGCCAGTTTTAGTCCATGAAACTCGCCAACTAACACAACTCCCCGCTAGGCTTCATCGGTATGGTTATAGATCCTCTTAAACAATCCGTTTATGATTGGGGAAGTAGTAGTAGTGGTTAGGATGCAAATGGCAAAGTGAGGTGCATTTGAACGTTAAAAGACAAACACACGGGGCCAGTCTCCCAGGGCCGCCCACCACTAGAAATCTAGCGTCATTGTGGTAAAGTGCGATTAAGATATGGCGAGAAAAGCAACCTCGGCTGCCAGATCGCGAGATAAAGACGAACCAGGCAACAGAAATCCCATTCCAAGCGAAGACCTCAAGTCATCGCTCCAAGATCCAGCGTGCGACAGCGCCAGTGAGGGAGGTGACTTCGGATGTGTAGTGGGCCTAGGGCTCACTAGTTAGCTTACACGTGTGCGCACGTGTAGGAGGAAGCGTAGATATTCCTAGGTAGTATAGTGTACACACGATGCGTGAGTACAGTAAGACGAGATAGGAACAGGATAGCGTAAAATGAGAACTGGGTTGTTTGTTTAATGAATTTCCTTCCTAAACTGATTATCAAATATCTAAGGGACTGTCAGCGAGTGGCTGACAGTGAACCACATCGCTGATTGGTAGAGGTGTGGCGCACTCTACCTATAGGACCCCTACAAATGCAGTCTTGGTGTGTGTACACACCTAGACAGGAAACCTCTAATTCTAACCGGTTAACGTTTTGGTTAGAGTTTCGTGTAACCCGGTTACATTACCACCCCCCCCGTTAAGATTTGACATGCCGGTAACAACACGTCAATCGAAGCTTTGACGAGTTCGTCAAGCCTCCGAGAGAATTCCGCGCTCATTTCGAAATGAGCGCCTCACTGCGAACACCAGTGTCATCGCCAGTGTCCGCCAGTGTCCGCGTCGACCGTAGCGTTGACGCCAACACCCGTGCCAGCGTCCTTCTCGACCTCAGTGTCGATGCCTGTGGTTGATCCCGCGTCTGCACCGACCTCCGCGTCGGTGCCTGCTTCCGTACATGTGTCGATAGTAACGCCGACACCCTTTAGTAGAACGACAGAGAAGAGTATCTCTGTCGACAAGTACTTCGAGCTTCAATAGAAGAAGCTCGAGCTCGAGAGTAGGCAGCATGCTTGGGCCGCGAAGCCAGACAGTCCTTGGACTGTTTTCGATTGTTCGTCGGTCCTCTCGACCGACGGTGGTATCCCCGTGGACTACGAGGATGGAGAACTTGAAGACGAGGGCACCTCGTCTTCCTTGCCACATGACTCCAAGCCTGCGGCTGGGACTCGCCGCCCTCGTGAAGATGATTCGAACGCTTTATCTTCGAAACGTCCGCGAAGTGCTAGTGCTGCAGTGCCTTCCAGACTGGAAGCACTCGTCATCACCTCGGAGCAGCGTGATGCCACACGCACTGACGACTCAGTGTGCGAACCTTGGATGCCGGCCGAGAGCGTCATCAAGGATCGGTACGGGAACAAGGTTCCCCCGAATGAGGTACCGTTATACGTCGACAATCGAATTATCGACGACGATGACGCTGCTGCGAAGCACTTCGAGCCGACGACGAACCAAAGGCGAGATTACTACATCTCGCTCTTTGACGAGCTCCGGTACTGTAGATCGAAGAAGAGTTCGGGGCGAAGCAGAGTGCCCAAGAGTTTGTTGAAAACTTCGACAAAGACCCGATTGGTTATCGCGAGGGAATTGTTTCCGCTCGTGAGCGCTTCATGAAATACTATATTACTTCTGTCGTCCAGCGCGTTCACGAATATTCCGTGAACGCGAACATTACTTGTGCAGTGCCTGTGGGCGTCCATTGCCAGCACTGTCCCATTGGTGCTCCCCGCATCAGCGAGAGAGACCTCACCGGGTACACGACTAACCGTGTACCTGCAAACGTTAAGGAGCTACGTGCTAAGCTTGCTTGCACGTGTCAGCATCCTAGTGTTGTGCCTGAGCACAACACACCGCGAAACACTGCACCTCGCAGTGTTACGCCTCCAGTCCCTGGTGGGCTTCGTACGCCTTCACTATTTCCGGAACGTCCGTCACCAGGACGTTTTGGGGAAACCACTATCTCGAAGGAGACCCGATTGCCTACAACGAATACGAATACGAACCGGACCTCGCTTCGTCTTCGGACTGGTATGGTCAACAATCCGATGCACCTCGCGGTGGATCGTACGGCGGACAGAGTTATGTTTCTGTCGGCGGTGCCGGATGCTCATCATATGGTCAACCCCAGGTAAACCATGGTCCTCAGGTGCTCCACGCTCGCGTGAAGGCTCTTGAGAGCGTTCAGGCTTCTCAGATCGATGAGCTGAGACAGCAGCTGAACGTGCAGAAGGCCTACGTGGCCGAAGCCGCCCAGACCACCTCAAACATGCGTGTTGAGGTGTCGGAACAAGTTCGCCTTCTCCAGGTGAAGCGAAGCGGCTTTAGGAGAAGCTGAGGTCGCGCCGCGCGTCGTCGTCGGCGAGTCGTCACGACTAGATGACTCGGGCTGCACGTATGGCTTCAAGCGCCCAACGTAGAACGTTGGGTGGAGTCTCATGTCGGAAGGAAGTTCCAACGTGTATGCATTGCCGTGACGTTTTGTCGCCATGAACGGTCCGATGAAGCGCGGGGCAAGCTTGCTTGCTCCAAATCCAGAAACCGCATGAGCAGGCAAGTTTTGCGTAGCTAACAAAACCAATGAACCAATTTTGAATTCAGTTGTATTACCCCTGCCAACATTGTCTGTGTTCAGCTTCTGCCTATCCGCAGAAGCTGCAATTGCATCTTGTACAAATCGAACGACTGCTTGTCGTTCCTGGACAAAGTCCATTGCTTGAGAGCTGAACCCCGGGTCCGGCTCGTTGGTCTTGTCCGCGTCTGTGGTCTGCACAGACTCGCCATTTGTAGTCGCATCAGTCCCAGACTGTGCGTGGCTCTTTTGGGTGTCAGTGCCCGGCACTGACACTTCGTGTGTGTTCGCAACAGGCCCCGCCAGTGCGTGAATCTTCTCAGGATCGATGCTCGGCATCGATACATCACTTGTGCGTGTAACAGGTCCGGCCTGTGCGTGAGTCTTCGCGGTTTCTGTGTCCCGCACTGACACAGGTGTCGCCTGCTTGTAGTTCCTCCCAGTGTCAGTGACCGGCGCTGACACGTCGCCTTGTCGTGTGCGGGCTCTCGCTCTCGCACGTGTTGTCGCAGCTGATATATCCGTTTCAGCTGTCTTCTGCGGTTGTTTGGACGCAACCGTAGATTCTCCCCCACTTAAGGAGGAAGCCACCGCCCCGAGCGTTCTCGGAAGGCGTGGATGCCGTATGGCGTTCACGAAGAACGGTGCATGCCCCGTCGAGGCATGCACCGCGTTCTTGATGGCAATCGCAGCCATCGGCATGTAGTCGTTCCAGTTGTGGAACGACTGGAAGTAGTTTTTCAGCAAGTCCACGAGCACGCGGTTCACGCGCTCGGTTTGCCCGTCCATCTGCGGATAGTCCGCTGTCTACATAGAGAACTGTGTTCCAAGAAGTGTAAACACTTCTTGACAGAAACGCGCCGTGAAGTGCGCGGATCACGGTCGGACACAAAGCCGTTTGGCGTGCCATTGTGTTTGAACACCATTTCGACGAACAGACGTGCCGTCTGTACGGGGGTCACCTCCGCTGCGACAGCAGCGAGATGCACCATCTTGCTGATGCGGTCCACAAAGACCACAATACCAGTCTTCTGCCTGGAATCGCGCGGAAGACCAAACACGAAGTCCATCGAGATGGACTCCCAACACTCCGACGGAGTCGGTAGTGGTTGCAGAGGAGCCTGCAAGTGAGCCGCAGGCTTCACTCGCTGGCACACATCGCAAGTACGCACGTACTTGCGCACCCACTTGTACTGGTGGTTTCAGTAGGAGTCTCTCGTGAGAAGAGAATACGTCCTCTCACGTCCTGGATGTTCTGTTGTGGGGACACCGTGATACTCGTACATGATCCTGCTGCGCAGGTCAGGATCATTCGTCTACCGCGCTGTAAAGCAGTAGGCCGTCGTACACACGATACCGGTGTCCACTCGCTCGTAGCCGAGGGGCCAACTTCCGACATGCTTTGTCGGAAGGAGCTAAGAGGAACTCGATCATCTGCTTCGCGTCTCCGTCATGCGCATTCAGCCTTCACCTCGTCCAACAAGGATGACGATGGGGTATATCTCCGAGCGACGTAAAATTGGTTGACGTCGGCTGTCTTGACAGCATAATCCGGTCGTCGCGACAATGCGTCGGCGACGACATTCAACCTTCCGGGTTTGTACTCGACCCGGAAGTTGTACTCCGCGAAGAAGGACAACCATCTCGCCATTTGTTGCGACATGTGCGGAGACTTCACAGCCGTCCGCAACGACGCGTGGTCCGTATAGACCACGAACGGTGTGTTCCCGAGTAAGTACACTCGGAACATCGCGAGTGCATACTTCATGGCAAGAAGTTCCTTGTCATCCACAGGGTAGTTTCGCCCAGCTTGCTTCAGCTGACGCGACGGGTAGTAGACGACTCGATCACGACCCTCGTGATCGGGTTGCATTAACGCACATCCGACCGCGAAATCGGATGCGTCACACACTACGTGAAAGGGATGATCTTGGTCAGCCACAGCCAAGATCGGCGAAGTCGCGCACCGAGCGTAATAGATGCGTGACGCATCTGTTGAAGGCCGCGGGGGCGTCCTTCCGTCCTTGTGGCATAACTAGCCACTCCCACAGCATACCTCTTGGGGTGGTTACCGCGTGAGAGGGATATCGCTCTCACGCATTAGGATCTGATAGAACCCGTCTCTCAGATCAAGAGCACTGTGGATGGTGCTCTTGGACATCGAATCGATGATGACATCTTTTCGAGGTATCGGCGTTTATGCCGGTATCGTTGCATCGTTCAGCTTGTTGTACGCATGAACGATGTGCCAGCCACCCTGTGGCTTTATGACACAGAACGTTGGTGCGCTGTGCGGGGACTTCGATTCCTGCAATTGTCCTCGACTTTCGAAGAAGCCGTCGATTGCCTTCACTTGCTCCCGCGGCAGTGGCCACTGCCGCGTCACGCAATACTTCATTCCTGACACAAGGTCAATCTCGTGCTGTATTCCGTTGTCCTGCGGAAGCTCCGCCGAGATCTAGTCCAGGAGCCCACCTCTGTGCTCCCGCAGAATCTCGTAATAGAGACTCGACTTCAGTGAGTCCCAACTCTGCTCCTCGAAGCGCTCCTTCTTCGTCTTGGCACTGGCAGTATCCTCACTCTCAGTGGCGCTTCCTGCGAAGAGTTGCCTCAACTTTTCTGCTTTGCTTGTCATTCTTTCGCGGTCGGAAAGAATGCATAGTTGTTCCCGAAGAGTAAAAATTACCACGATGGACATTACGAAGAGTGGAAAGCTTTCCAAGAAATCAAGAAACTCGTTCTTCAAGTTTGCCTAGCTGACCTGTCTAGACATGTTCGGGAAGACATCCTGAATAACAACGACAATTCTGAGGAAGTGCAGTTAAACCATTAAGCCCGCTGAATGGGGATTTGGTACGCGTCGGGCCGAGAGAACCCTCAGAATTGTGTGTGTTAGCGTATATCTGCCCCGAGTTGAGGACCCGGAACCAAAATAACCCATAGTGTATGATCTCCATGATTCATGATGAACCTGTTCCTTTGGGTATTCGACCACCATTGGCCCCAGATCCTGAAGGTAAACCTGAATTCAAGTTAAACCCCGGGGAACGGTATGGTTGGTGGGTCGAGAATTATCGTGAAGAGGAAAGGCGTCAGTGTGCTACGGTTCATGAAGCGGCTAATAACTTTAAGCCACAGATATTACTTGACGCCGGAACGACTGTGAGTATGATCAGTTTGGACCTTGCGCGTAGGCTCAAGAGCAAGTTTAACTCACAGAAGCGGGTCAAAGTGTCAGAACTAGGTGGCGTCCTGAGCTATATCACTTCGAGTGCACAGATCAAGATCACTTTGGGATGGCGAGTTGTGTACGTCATGGATGTTTGAGCAACGAACATTGGAGAAGGAGTGTAGGTGCTTTTAGGGATAGCTTTATGTTCAGTGCTGGGGTGCGCCTAGGTATTCGTGAAGGAATGGTTGGTCTCCCGGATGAAGAATCTATTCTGATGTACGGGTATATAAACGAAAGCGTGGATACCGGGATGTCCCAGTCTGCCTCCTTCGAGGATTGCATTTGCGATCCGGAGAATATGCAAATGTGGCCATCCGATATGGACAGTGTCGTCCGCTCTAAGATGTTGTATGGGCAAGAAGAGAGGACTGATGGGTCACCCAAATTGTTGACGGCGCACGATCGTGGGCTGTAGCGATATAAGTGGTCAACATCTCGGACCGGGACTGATAAATCGAGCCTAGGACACCTGTTGCTCGAATTGCGGAGTATGAGAATATCCCCATAGTTGGACAGTTCGTGCGTCCTGGATTACGGAGATACATGGAAAGGCAACAGATTTTCCAGGAGAACACAGTGTCCGCGAAAGCCAGGGTACACCGGGAAACATACGAACAGATGTTTCGGGATGCTGCTCCGCCTGCAGTTATGGCTCCGCGATACAGGTGACCAACGATGTTACTGGTGAGGCCAAAAGAACCCGAGCGAGCCCAGGTTAGAAGATTTTAAAAGGGTTAAAACAGCAAAGAAACATCGACGTTGTAGAATGCTAAACTTACGGCATACTCCCCGAGTGTGATTGGTTCACTCATGGCTGTAGAAGTTTCACCTGAAGTTGCCACCCTGGATACCAATGCTCAGGATAGCGGAGAGGTTGCCAATTCGGGATCCTGTAGTGAAGGTGTTGATGAAATGTTTCAGGAATCTGAATGCAACGCATTCCAGGATGACCAAAGCGAGGAAGACGAGGATTTCGAGATACCTTCTTTTGCTAGGCCTGGAACACCACTCGCACGACTTGACGCAGCGTGAGTCAGGTGCATGCGAGTGAGTGCTAAAGAACTCGATTTGGAACCAGCAGTTTATATATTCTGAAGGGAGCGAGCTCATTTCTAAGTTGAAAGATCAGTTGGTTATGCTACCTGACTTGGATGATCCCTCTCTTGAATGTGATATTGAAGCTGTGGATAATGAAGAACCTGGCGAGAGTACAGTAGCTCAGGAGAAGCAGCTGAAGGCCGTCCTGAAAAGGCATAGGAAGATCTTCTTAGGTGATGGGAATGCTGCCCCGCCGCCGGCGAGAGGTGTCATCTGTGATCTAGATGTGGGTGTCGCCAAGCCTGTGGCACAAAGACCATGGCCGGTCGGTCCGCACTTGGCAATCAAGGTGTACAAGTTGTTGAAGAGGCTTCTGAAAGCTACGTGGATTGAACACTCTGAATCGCCATGGGACCCCGATTGGGATAGTACTCAAGAAAAACGGAGTGGATATTCGGATGTACATCAACTATCGGGTCGTGAACAGCTTCATTCAGTTGTCGAATTACTCACTGCCACTGATTGATGATCCTATCACTGGATTCGAGGGAATGAGCCGGTTCATGAGTCTCGACATGGTGAGCGGCTTTTGGGCAGTTCAAATGACCGAGAGGGCTAAGCCGATCTCAGCATTCACTTGCCCATTCGTGCATTTTAGTGGGTACGTGTGCCCTTCGGGTTGAAAAACGCCCCGATAATTTACCAACAGATGATAAATAATTGTCTATGGGAATTTGTACGGTTATCGCCCGAAGAGGAAGCACTTGTGGATCAGGATGGGTTAGCCTACCTGAAGTCGGGCCCTCATTCGTCAAGTGATGAAATGGATGCGGAACGCAGTATAATACCGCTAGTGGAGCAAATGACGGTTTTCAGGCGCAATATTCCCGCGCCATCTTAAATGGGTCCAGTCTTGGGGGCAGTTAGTATATTGTTGACATCGCGCATGGGGCGGCCACGTGGGATCAACTATGTGGCGATTTGGATGCGCTGCTCTATCGGTTACGGTACTGGGGTATCTCGGTTAACTTGCCCAAGAGCAAATTCGGGAAGCGTGTCATACCGTACTTCTCTCACGATTTTGGCGTCGAAGGGATACGTACTACCCCGAAAATCGTAAAAGACATTCAGGAGCTACCATTTCCGTCTAC